CCTGTAAATTTAATTTAGATCCCCATTCGACTCGCATCAGCATTGGAGACTAAGGGCGGTAAGCTCCAACCGGTTTTATCCTCGGATTGAATCCCGATCACAAATGTCGAGCTACTTTGATGTCGACGTCAATCGTGATCAATATGATCTTAATCAAACATTTGGCAGATCTTCCAATCAGGCCCAGTAGCAAAAGTTAATCCAAGCTGAAGCCCACCTCCTCAGCATCTAGTGGTATCCAAAACAACACGCATCCAACTTTGCTGGAATGGTACTACTCACATAATATCAGCGCCGCCGTAGCGCTCAAAATGGAAACCAGCAGAAATTGATTTTAATTAAGGCAGAAACTCACACATCGACATTTTGTTGAACGCCGGACGCTAGCTGCAGGTTGTTGCATAGACGAAGGCGGCTAACGCTCCTGCCCCAACGGACATTCAAGCTGTGTTTAGCCGCTTTGGCCGCGACTGGTTTTACTATTTTTGGCCACAAGTCAATTTCTGCCATGTATAGAACAGAAGTGGAAATTATGGGAAAATTATCGTCCAGCATAAAACAGCATTGACAGACACTTCGGTCCAAAGGCAGTCATATCTAATAAACCGTTCCAATTCCCACAGCACCGGCCTTAGAAGAGCACATACCCACACTTGTCTTGTACCCAACCAGTCCAAAACTCAGCGTGACTTCTCGCGTATCGCTCATCGGTTGTGTAGAGTCTATTTTGTCATCCAATTGAGGAGCATTATTGAGCCGCGTTGGGAAAGAAAACCGATCATCAAAATCGATCGACTCTAATTGCGCTGAACTTGGTGACATTTCGCCGCTGCCGAAGATTGGAACCAGTTTGCCTCCGATGCATAACTTTTGCGAAAGCAATTTTTACGGTTTATTAATATTCACATACTGACTAGTTTGCCATAATTGCATTGAAATAATGTTCAACATGCAATAATAAAAAAACGATTCAGTTGTGATGCATACATCTTGCTTCGAGTCACATTTCGCGCAGATTCCCGTCGGGTAATTGCTTATTAATTTTACTTCGCCGCTACTTTGTTGCAAATCAATCTGCGTAAAACGTATCTATAATGGACGTAGTTTACTACCTGTCTTCACGGTCGTACCGTCCCGGGAATCAACCTTGCGCCCGGTACTCGCCCTGGTCATTAAATAATTTGTTAATGTCATTATTTCTAACACCTTTCCGATACGCCTCCTTCCAATCCCAATCAATTTGTACTTTCACACGCCCGACCGCAACCTTCCATCAGGTGGTGGTTGGTGGGTAGATGCATTCGACTGTTGCCGGACGGTAGACTCTCGAACGTATTGCATTTTATTGAACTCTCTATAAAAACTTCACGCGGTAAGTGCCAGATAGTATCGAAAGGAAATTTACTGCCCAAAGCCGGGCTGATGCTGGATCTTCCATTCAAAATGAGGAGTGTACGTAATTAAAACTTGAACAAGGTCTAGCTGGTTGCAGGGAAGCGAGTAGGTCCGATGTATGTTAGGTCAATCCACGAAGGACCAAGTGGTAGAAAATCCTTTTTTATTGCGCAAAGTCGTTTCAATTAGGCTCAGATGCAATCAACTGTCGCCCGGTATGATGACGAGTGGCTGCTGGCTGAAGCTACTCTGAAGCAGGTTATTTGTTGATAAAGCCATTTTGATTTCGTTAGTTGTTCTACAGTGGTACAGGTCCGTACCTAGGAAATGGCCATTTTGGCTCACAGAATTTTATGAAACTTTGCATATTTGTTCGGTAGGGGCAATGCAGAAAGTTTGTGCCGGTAATCGGCCATTTTAAGTTAAAAAAAATAAATAAATTTAAAAAGTCTGTTAAACATTTATTTAATAAAACAAAATATTGGAAGTGCTTTTTTCCTGCTAGTGCAACAACAAGACCATATTGGCACAGCGTAAAGCATGGCCGGTCTAAAAACTTGTTTAAATATTAGAAGTTTATTCGTCAGGCAAAGTTTGGATTTCCTGTTTATAAGAGGATACAAACATTTTATATATTTCTTATATTTGGCTTGAATGCCCTCAATGTGATCTTTAAAAGTTAATTTTTGGTCAAGTACTAATCCAAGATATTTCACTTGGTTTGACCAGGAAATTGGAACTCCATTCATAGTGACTATGTGATTACTACTAAGTTTCAAAAACGAAGCTCTAGGCTTATGTGGAAATATTATAAGTTGAGTTTTGGAAGCGTTGGGAGAAATCTTCCATTTTTGTAAATAGGAAGAGAAACTATCTAAACTTTTCTGCAGTCTGCTGCAAATAACACGAAGACTTCTTCCTTTAGCGGAAATGCCTGTGTCATCAGCGAACAAAGATTTGTGGCAACCCTGAGGCAAATCAGGGAGGTCCGAAGTGAAAATGTCATACAATATAGGCCCAAGAATGCTACCCTGAGGAACTCCTGCTCTAACAGGAAGTCGATTAGATTTGGAATTTTGATAATTTACCTGCAGAGTTCTGTCAGTTAAATACTTTTGAACTAATTTCATAATATAAAGTGGAAAATTCAACTTTTTTAATTTAGTAATCAAACCTTCATGCCAAACACTGTCGAATGCTTTTTCTATGTCTAGAAGAGCGACTCCAGTTGAGCAGCCTTCAGATTTGTTTGAACGAATTAAATTGGTAACTCTTAAGAGTTGATGACTAGTTGAATGCCCATGGTGGAATCCAAACTGCTCATCTGCAAGAATTGAGTTCGTATTGATGTGAAGCATCTTTCTATTTGAAATTATCTTTTCAAAAAGTTTACTTATTGAAGAAAGCAAACTTATTGGACGGTAGCTAGAAACTTCAGCTGGATTTTTATCCGGCTTCAAAATTGGAACAACTTTTGCATTTTTCCATTTATCAGGAAAGTATGCCAAATGGAAACATCTGTTAAATAATTTTACCAAGAAATACAAGGTACTCTGTGGGAGTTTTTTGGAGGATATTGAAAATTCTATCATCGTAACTGAAAATTCGAAGTGGAAGCGTGGAAGTGCATGTATAGCCTACGTGGCGGCCATTTCTGGACTCTACAAGGAATCACCTTAAGCTCACTCGACTTTAGCATGATTCATAGTAGATTTGTATTAGATAGTCTTATTGACTATTTTCTTTCTTAATCTATCTCTTTCGCTATCCTGCACTTGCTCGGTAATTTTTAGAATTCGATGGCGGTCGGGTATTTGAGAATGGATGAGTAATAGGTTTATAATATAAATTCAATTACATAAAGATACACACAAGCTTATTGAAACAATATATTCTGCCAGCATCGTATGGAGTGTTTACACTTGTGCAGATTCACGTGCTGGTGAGCCTGTAGTTTGAAAACCCACGGTTATTAGCATGATATAAACAGTTTTTAGGTGCTGATTAACATCATCACACATCACGTTAGTTGTTATCAAACGCTAATAAAACTGCGGAGAGATTTTGTGTGTTGGGTCCGCAAGCGAGTGTCCCGCGCGTAGTGTTTGAAAATGAGTGAAAGGCAGATCCAGATAGCACTAGGCAGCATCATTTAGGACTCCTCTGGGGGTAGAGGAGTATCGAACAGCGGAAAGCTTCCTGGAAGGATGGAAATGGTCATTCACTCACATTACTCTTGGTAACTCAGCTCATTGTTTTGGCAGCTACTTTCCGTTCGCTCACAAATTAATGAAATCTCTCCAAATGAACTAACCTGAACGTTGATACAGATGAACCCCAAAGGAATGAGTCGAGAAAATGAATGACATCAAAGCAGATGAATGCGCATGATTGTCATTCTTTTGCCAGAATGGGATTCACAAGATTGTTCGTGAACGTTCACACGTGAATCATTTTTTTTTGTTATGTATGAATGCACGATTGCATTCTTGAGTCCATGCATACATAACTACTGATCTAGTTTACCATACAAGTAGGCGGTTTTAATGTCGAAGTGTTTCAACGTCATTTTAACGCTACGCATCAAAGAAAGCAGCACTTTGGGAAGAGTCGGAAAAGTATTTTACTTGGTTTCTGGAGTCAATCAAAATCTTCGTCGTACTTCAGGGAATACCATTGCGCCTTTGTATTTTATCAGTGACATTCCTCATCTTTCTGAAGACCCAACCGAATCCAATGTCGTTTAACCAAACGTTATCAAGATCTCAGGTATCATATATGTATCCTGGTGTTGCTACTGCCATCAGACCTCCCTGGACCAGGCCAAACGTTATGAGTCAGCTCTCCAACAGCGATCGTTATTGTCGTAGACGTTTTCGGGAAAGTATCATCTTCATGGACATCTTCCGTTAAAACAGTAACAAGCACAAATCTGCTGAACTTCACTAGGACCTATTTTCAACCCCGTGCCCCAAATCCTCACGCACTACCTTCAACAGCGCTTGCAGATCTCTGTGTCCGTATCTACGCCACCAAAAATACTGGAAAAGTTCGCAGTGCACGTGTTTTGGGTCTACTACGAACTCCCGATCCGATAATTGTTTCAGAAGAAATAGACCATCGTTCCGTTTACCCAATAACACAGCTTCTTCTCCTTTTAGCACAGAAAACATGAAGCTTGTTAAATAACCCTTGAAACACCAAATCAATTATTCGGCTCACGACAGCAAGTTCTGTGCAAGCGATTCACAGAGACAGTCTACCCGGAACCAGTACCAGCGATTTACCATCAGCCAGACAAAAAATGGCAATTTAGACTGATTATTATGTTCTTTTAGAATGTTGGTGTCTTTCTTGATGTGAAAAGTTGCACTGCATCTTCTCCAGCTACCCCAGCATCAAGGCACAACTATCCCCCCGACTCCGATTTTGCAACATTTTTTGCTTGCTGTGGATTTGCATTTCGCAAAATGTCATTTTTTGCAGTAATACAAAGTTTATTTTTGCTATAGTGTTCTTCAAGGAACCGGTCGTTAGAACTTCATCACAGAGCAATGCGTTCACGGTATTCCTTATTCCAACAAGTTTCCCTTGGTAAAATTGACCGCCAAATTCACATATGATCGACTTTTGAGTGCCATTGTCAATCAGCCGTTGGATTCCTAGAGGCTAGACAACATAAAAGCCATGCAATCGTGGTCTCTCAGAGTACATTCAAATGAAGATGTAACGTCGCCATTTTACCGTTATACGACGTCCTTTAAAAAACAAGTTTTGCGTTATGCTCACGAATCATATCCACACCTATGAACAATATGCAAAATTTTGGCTACACAAGTTCAAGGATGAATAAGGTTGGTACCAGTTTCTGGAATGTTTCGTCTGTCTGTTTGTGACATCGGTAAAAATAAAAAAGATCGAGATATTATTTTGTGCAAAATATGATTATTTAATTTGATTTTATTTCTTCAAAAACAGATCATCTACTAGATATGATCTCCATCAATCGAAGCCACGATTCGAGGAAGAATGTCTGGATTAAGTTTGAGTAGCAAAGCATTTTCGATAGCACCAGCCGTCAGATTCATTCTTTGATCACTCAACATTAACTTCAACGCACTAAAACCACGCTCGACTGAAACCTGCGTAGCTGAAGCCGATAAAACAATCATAGCCACTCTGCAAAGTTCAGGGCTTGTGAACTTCTGACCTTCCCAGTATGCTAGCAGATCAAAATGCACTGGTTTCTCATAGCTGGTAGATGGACCTGGGCGCGACGTTTCAATGATGGGTACCTTCTCCCTCGTCTCAAGCTGCTTCAGTTTTTGAGCAAAAGAAGTGTTACTTGTCAACGATGAGCTGCCTTGTGAATCCTTGTCAAAAAATCCTGCCAAAATAGTCTCCAGATCATCTTCATCCGTGTGGATACTTGGAGCATCAACAGTTTGATCGATTTTTCCGTTAACGCAACCATGCAGTTTAATAAGAAACTCCTACAAAATTATGGAAAAAATATCATATAAGAACATAGTAGAGACATGATGAGCTGCAGAAAAAAACCTACTTGAACAAGCTCTTTATTTTTCGATGAAATTCTTTTCGATCCCAGGAAATTGAATCGAGGGTCAAGATATGCGCAGGCCTTGAACTGATTTGATTCAGTGAGCTTCTGTAAACGCCGTTGACATGCTTCCAGTAGTCGTTGAGCTAAACAATTTTCTTTCAACCTAATCAATTTCGCCTGACATACTAGCCAGTATGCATAGAAATCGCTCAATACGACGTGTCGCTTTTGAAGTTGCATGGTGAGAACAAATGGTGCTTCAAATGCCTCGCAAAATCTTTCAATGAATTTCCAATGTGGTGAGAAATCTGTAATCATTAAAAAGAAAACTTATTGAGTGATTGTCAATTGCAGCGTTAAAAACAACGTTTAAAGAGCAGAGGGAAGTTCTTTGTTTTATGACGAGCCATGTATAAGATATAGGAAAATACGCAACGATGGGGAAGAGGTGTAATAAAGTTCAAAGCACTATTTTAAATCTTTATGAGCAATCATGAAAAACATTATAAAAAATCGCATACTTACCAATTTCCGGATAAGCCTTTTTAAGCATGCTGAAGAATTGTTTTTGCTTCAATAGAGACTTCAACATCAGATAGGTGCTGTTCCATCGGGTCTTATTACTGATCGGTGGAAGGTGGGCATCATGTTGCTTGACGAATTTGTGGTATTCAGTTTGTCGTAATTTAATAACCAGTTTTTGAATTTTTCGGATTCGTTTTTCATACGGCTTGATAACGTCCCATACTGCCAGCTGTGCAGTATGTGCTGCACATCGAACGCTACCCAAAATGTCCTGCATCGAGGCATCAAAGGGATCTGTGGAGACCGGTGGAGTCTCCGTTGTTTCATTTCTTCCATCTTTGCCATTATTAAAATCATCATCTTCATCATCTGCCTCGGAGTCAGCATCGTCAGCCTCGATTTGCTCATCCGCACCATCTACCGTATCAGGCCGATCAATATCCTCATCGCAGGTGTCTTCGAAACTTTGATCCGTAAGAAATTTTAGATCGATGTTAGCTTTCTCGAGTGACTTCTTCATCTCGGAAACAGAGGCAACCATATTTGCTCCGTTGTCGTGAGTGACGGCATACACCTGATGCAGTTTAACTTCGAAATCACCCAATACATTTTCTATCAGCGTCTTCAAGTTTTCCTTCGTTTGCCTTTCTTGAGTCTCTTTGATGGCTAGAATTATAATTAAAGCAAAACAAATTTAATAAATTTAAAAAGGAAAAAAAAATCCTCAGATATTTTGCAGATCACTTCATAGCATCCCACCATTCGCCGAAGTCTGGAGCAAATTTCAAAGACTATCAAATTTTACCTTACAAAGGTTGCTTACGTCGATTCATGCTTCGAAAAATCAACACTGCACAGTGCTCTAGGATTGAAAATTAGGAAGACAGAACTTTTAGTAAGTTTTATGGATTTGGAGTCTTGAGTGAAGTTTTTATGCTTGAAATCTTTTGGTCGTTTCAAAAATTAGGATTGACCTAACTTTTGTCTTGATAATTTTGTATCCTGGACCACTGCACTGGCGAACAAGGGAAAAAAAATATTCTTGTTAGCCCTAAGGGTTTAGTTGTAAGGTATTTTTCTTGGGCCTTTCTAACCTGTCTCACTCCCGTTGTAATGTTTTGTTAACACAAAAGTTCCTCCGATAAACTTACACGTTAGTTGGTTAGTGAATTGATCAGAAACATATTTACCGAGATTACGAACTACAACTTTATAATCAATAATGATTCGCGCACTGATTCCAACGAAGTGGGGGCTTCCTCTGGATGCTCCATCAACTTCGATTGTTATCAGCGGTTGTTGTTTGAATTCTGCTGATATGAGCTGCCGAGCTATACATGCTGAGTTGTCCACCAAACCGGCCACAGTTTTACTATTAGCAGTAATTCCGGTGGCATCATAGAGAGGACCTACCAATGTTTTGAATCCTTTCATTTCCGGGAACGAATGTGGGAGGTGATTGACAGTAGCTAACTGCAAAGTGCCAAGAAGGACGGTTTCTCTGTTCGTTTCCACAGGTAGCTTTCTAGATTTTTTCTTAGCCGGTTCAGCTGCTTTCTCAGTTGGCGGAGCAGGTAAATCCATTGCCGCGTAAACATCCTGCTGCATTTTAAAAATATGCCTTTTAAAATTCCCCGGCATAAGCGTATCTTGCTTATAATTACAGTTTTCACTGGCTTTGCAAAGGAACTTCCCGTTTTCCACCTGGATAACCTGCAGTAGGGTGTTTTTCTGCGTACAACGTCGTTTCATTCTGGAAATTTTAATAGTATATATGTGTATATGAATTGCAGAGATCTATTATATTGTCAATTACTTACATTGATTTTTGCGATCACGGGTTGATGATTTAGTAAAATTGAAACAGCACACAGAAGTACACTTCTGGCTAAATAAAACACGGCAACGTTATGCGATTAGAATCTTTCGCGAAGAATCTTTGCGAACGAAAGAATGCATTCATTTGCGATCCTTTTGACAATCATTCAGAATGCGAAGCAAGTAACGTGGGAATGAATCAATGGATGAACATAAACATCAATGAACGCTGTCAACCTTTTCATGTTTTCGTTCCATCTTATCCTGTTGCGTGAACGCGTAACTCTCCACAGGCAGGGCTGCGGAGATTGTTTATCACAGCGAAAAAATGTACATTGGTGATTTCAAATTGAACGTTACGTGAATGATTTTTTCCATGCTTGGGACTATGCACCGGAATGCTGGACGTGGTATGCTATGCCAAAACCACCAGGAATGCATTTGCCAGTAGCTGTGGGAGAAATTTATTTCCGGTTCAATTAGGGCATATATATTTTTTTTATCATTGGGAAATGGGTCTATATTTTTAGGCCGCCAAATTTTTAGTTTTGAAGCTAGAGTTTATTTTTATTTATTCGTATTCGTATGATGATGGTTGAGGTGGTCGCTTTGTCTTAGTTTTATGTTTTGCAGAAAATTGAAAATTATTGCTACCAAGATGACCTAGCAATAGCAGTATTTTTTTCATGTATTCTTATTATGCTAGATGGTGCCAAGTATTTCGCTTAATCGTATCATCTCACTAACTAACTTAATTCAGGCTTCAGCAGTGTAGATCAGATTTTGTAAACACGTATCCAATGTAACTAAGTAACTAAAACCTCTAGCGCTATTAAATATTTTTCTTTCAATGTTATATTTTTTAATGCTGCTATATAATAATATATAATTTGAAATATTACTATGTCGTATCCTATCTCGCGGGATTCTTTCGATTGAATTATCAAATTGCAGGATTCAAATTCACGACTTGCAATAAATGTGGATCGTGACTCTTACTACATAGGGGAAATGGATGTTATGTCGGCCTAAATGCCCCTGATTTGGGCCCATAAATAAATTCAGCAATCGACTAAATTTTCAATAGCGACCAAAAATATCCATTAGTACCGTCCCAATGGATATTCATCTAGATAAAATTGATAAAAAGCAGATTTTTAGCGATGGGCTCAATCTAAGATCCAAGGCCAACATTAGAGCCATTTCCCCTACTTCATTATATTGTTTTACAACCTTTCTGAAATTTTTGGAACGCGTTATGGGTTGATTTCAAAGGCTGTTGCTTGATAGCTGTGCCTTTATCTACTGATCTAAGGGAGGCACATATTGAATTTTATATTTTTCATTGTATTGTTCTATATTTTAAATTATTATTTTCTAATTTATTACATGTTATACCATTTTATTGTTCACTTCAACAGCGTGCTACCTGATGGACCAACCAGTTTCAATGAGAATAATGCATCCATTCAGAGAAAAATTTAAACCAAAATTTATTTCTGCTCTTCGTGAATCAATCATTAACAAACAAAAATTAAAATACTTAACCATCTACAGTCTACAACAAGATCAATTTAGTCTATATTAATTGTAATATTTATATTTGTTATTGTATTGCATTACTTATTATGTCAGTTTTTATAATATTTTTAATATAACCTTGACATTACAGTTTAACTAGTCATATAATCAATTACTAGTTACAAACACAACACGATGAACAGGAATTGCCAAAAATGCACCAACGCTTATTTATTATTTATAAGTTTTCCAATGTTTATCAATTATTTAAATATATATATAAATATATATATACAACATTTATCAGAATTTGCAATCCTCCACAGCAAATAATTTAGATACCAAATAACAACATGCCAAGACATTTAATTGTTTTATCCTTGCAGGGTTTCCAATACAATCATTGCGGATATATTAAATATTATCCTTATAAATAGAATGCCCCATATCCAAATAACCAAGAATAACCAAATAACCAATGAATTTGACGAGCTCTTATTAAACAAACTATCCTGTGGAACGCTTAACATGTATTGCGAATTTCGTTATTCGTTTTGTTGGATCATATTGTTGAAAGAAGATTCTTTTATTCCAGCGGGTTTTGTGTAAGCGTCTCTGCTAACGGGTCCGTCCAACCCCTTTTGACCCTTCATACAGCAGTATGTTGAATTCAGAATGATGACGAAATTTGATCTTGCTGTTGAGTGGAGCCGCATGCAGGGCAAGATCCAAGCTAGAATGGTGGCTACTAACATACATACATACATATAGGATATAGAAAATTCCATCATCACCTGGAGCTTTCATATTATGAAACTTTTTACTTATAGACCTTACTTCGTCCAAATCAGTCCCCCAGGAATCAACAAAAATATTTTCCCGAGAGAAAATATTCAGATAATCCCAAGCAACCTGATTCTCAATAGGACTAGTAAGACCCAAACTGAAATTATGGGAACTCTTGAATTGCTTTTCCAAATTTGTGATCAAAATTTTACCACCTTCTTTAAGCGCTGGAATAGGCTATTGAGGTTTTTTCAAAATTTTTGTGAGTTTCCAAAAGGGTTTGGAACTCGGGTCTAATTTAGAAACATTATTTTCAGAAGTTTTGTTCCTAAGGGCAGATAATCGTTTTTTAATTTGTTTTTGTAAATCCCGCCAGATAACTTTCATGACAGGATCGCGTGTCCTTTGATATTGTCTCCTACGGACATTTTTAAGACGGATCAAGAGCTGAAGATCGTCGTCTATTATAATTGAATCGAATTTAACCTCGCATTTTGGTACTGAGGCAGCTCTTGCTTCAACTACAGAAGTAGTCAGAGATTCAAGAGCATAACTAATTTCATCCTTGGTTTGCAAAGGAATGTTTGGATCGAAGTTATATTCCATAAATGTTCGATATTGCTCCCAATCAGCTTTATGGTAATTGAAAGTAGAGCTGTTGGGATTACAAATTATTTCTTGGGATATTTTAAAAGTTACTGGAAGGTGATCAGAACCGAAGTCAGCATGGGTAACCAATTGGCTACAAAGTTGACATGAATCAGTTAAGACCAAATCAATAGTGGAGGGATTTCTTGCAGAAGAAAAGCATGCTGGGCTGTTTGGATATTGAATAGTGTAATAACCTGCAGAACAATCATCAAACAGAATATTACCATTGGAATTGCTTTGAGCAATATTCCATGAGTGGTGTTTTGCATTAAAATCACCAATAATGAAGAATTTAGTCCTATGACGGGTAAGTTTCTGAAGGTCACCCTTGAGAAAATTCTTTTGCTGGCCGCATTGGAATGGCAAATAGGCAGCTATAAACGTAAGTTGTCCAAATTTTGTTCAACAGAAACTCCCAAAGTTTCAAAAAATTTGGTTTCAAATGAAGAAAGAATTTTATGTTTGATTTGTCTATGAACAATGATGACAACGCCACCACAGGGTCCATCAAGACGATCATTTCTATAAATGAAATAATTTGCGTCCCTCTTAACCTTATGGTTAGGCTTAAGGAACGTTTCAGTTATAACGGCAATATGCACGTTATTAACTCTCAAAAAGTTAAATAGCTCGTTTTCATTATCTTTAAGAGATCGAGCATTCCAATTTAAAATATTCAATGCTTTAAAATCCATTGCTAGATTTCAAAGTCATGATAATATTGTTTGAAAATTTTACTCCAGTTTAAATAGCCTCAAACATGGAGTTAGATTTAAGCATATCAGAAATCATGTCAATTAATGATTTCTGTAAAAATTCCATTTTAGGGGTAGTAATGCATCCAAAGACAAAATTTTCAAAATTCCCATTAGAATTACGTTGGTTAGTATTTTGATTTCTACCCGTTGCAATATCAGCATATTAACTCGCTGAACATTGTTAGCATCGAGGGGAGTAGGTATAGATGAAAAATTTGAAGCAGGGGTAATATTTGTACCTACGGGTACGAATGTAGAATTTGTTCCTCGCTGACCGTTGTTAACAGCAGAGGAATTCGTACTTGGTCGGAAACGTGGAGCGTTTCCTACCTGTCGCTTATAACGAGATTGTAGGATCGCTTTGCGAGTCGTACATTCCCAAAAATTGGATTTGTGGTTTTCACCACAATTTGACCATTTAAATTACATAGGATCTTTCTTCACAGGACAGTCGTCCTTTGCGTGAGAGGAATCACCAGAATTCATGCATTTAGCTGGCATGTAGCAATTTTTTGTTCCGTGACCCCATCCCTGACACTTACGGCACTGGGAGAGGTTTTGGAAATTTCCACAAGTCTTCCTGAAATGTTCCCACTTCACTCGGACATGGAGAATAAGGCTAGCTTCTAAGGCCTTAAGGTTGTTTAGTTCACTAGACTTGAAGTTAACTAAATAAAAATCATTAGAAAACCCGTTGCGCGAATCGCCAGGACGGGATTAAATTTTCATTTTGGTTACTTGGAGTGGCACAACTTCAAGCAATTTCGCCAGTTCATCTTTGATCTGATCAAGCGATTCACAACTGGGCAGTCCTTTCATTACAACCTTGAACACACGTTAAGTTTTGGTGTCGTTAGTAAAAATTGTGCGCTGCTTCTCAGTAATATACTTGAGAAGACATTTAAACTTAACTTTCACGAAGTTCAAAAGTTCCATGCGAAGTGGTTATCACAATAGGAGGAATCTTTTCCTTCTTGGCATTAAGCCGGGAAAGTTTACTAGATTTTTTCTTGAATGATGGATCATTCTCATCATCCGTGAGCAAATCAAATTGATTGCTCAAAATAATTTCATCAGAAGGGGCATCAAGAGTTTGCCCTTTTCTTTTGCGCTTAGCCGCGGCAGTAAATTTTTATCCAAATCGACATCCAAACAGATTACTATAAGAATCTCAAGGATCGAAGTGGAATTTTCCAAATCGATATCCAAGAAAGATTA